TCAAATACTAAATCTTTATTTACCAGACACTGGTTTCAAGTATTTTAATACATAATGTTTCGCTTCATTCTTACCTCAACTACATAAGGTAGATACTGTAATTATTCTTATACCAACTGAAGAAACTGGGACTCAGATGTTTTAATTGTTTTCCCAAGATTGTATATCTTGCCTAATATGTGGTATATTTAGAAGTTCATCCAAGTAGGGTTACCATGGCTTTTGGGTGCATTTTGCTAACCAAGCAAACTTCAAGGATCATGTGAAGTTCAGATTCAAATGATGTTTTTTCATACCACATATCAAATAGTCTTAAATATTAACACCAACATTACTGCTAAAAATGAGACCATTGAATACATTGCAACTGTGATGGCTCTCCTATATACTTAGAATCCTGTTATATTGAATTTGAATTGCAAATATCAATATGAACCTATTTGTTTCTTTTAAAGTAGATATGTATCTATAATTGTGTCTGCTGCTAAAAGTTCTTAAAAGCAATGAGTACCTAGTCATTGCAAACACAATCAACATCCGAATTATTGACCCTAAATATTAAGGAACCAGAGCTCCTTGATGAGTTGTTGATTTCAGGACTGGGGGAGAAAATATATAAGACCTGTAAATCTTTTTGCTCTAAAAAGCATTAAAACACTTCCAAATACCAGTTGATTATGCAAAAACAAACAAAAGAACAACAACAACAAAACTCACATAATTCAATTTAAAGGGGCTCCCTTTAGCCAAAGAGAGACAATTTGAGCATCAAAAGCAGTGATGAATACAATTGATTGACACGCATTCACTAATAAAACCCAGAAGTTTATAATTATTCTTAAAAATAGAGAGAAAGCAAAAAGACTAAAACGATTCATTGACATCAATGAACATAACGTGGGAACTAACACGTGTTAAGACATGGCAAATAAAGGAAAAGAATTAAATATTAAAGTGCTTTTTCTGAATTAACTGTGTTTCAGAATAACCTAATAGCTCTAAAGAAGATCCCTTCCTTAGAAAACGAGTGCTAAAATTAGCAACTTACACTTTTGCAACTTCGAATGAATGATTAATTCAGCCAATGAGCATTAATAGTTATAATCAACAAATGCAAGGTTTATAGATAATTTTACAATAAAAATGCCACAGTTAATTTTATGTGTCCACTTGGCTGGGCCTTTCTCTGGGTGCACTGTTAGGATGTTTCTAAATGAGATTAACATTTTACTGAATAAAGAAAATTGTCCTCCCTCATATGAGTGGACCTAATCAGTTGAAAGCCTGAATAGAATAAAAAGAATGATCCTCCTGTGAAAAAGAAGAACTCTTCTTTTCTGAGTGCCCTCCAACTAGAACATGTTTTTTTCTTCCTTTGGACTTAAACTAAATCATTGATTCCTCCTGAGTTTTTAGCTTGCCAGTGTTTACCCCATCAGTTCTCCTAATGCTTAGGTTTTCAGATTCAGACTGCAAGTACACCATGTGCCTCTTCTGGGACCTCAGCTTGCTGACTATCCATCTTAGGCCTTGTCAGTCTTCATAGTCATGTGAACCAATTCTTTACTTTTTTCTTTCTCCCTTTCTTTCTCTATATATTTTTTATGTTTCTTTATGTATTTTTTCCTCTATCCATATATAATGTGTCTCTGTGTGTGTGTGTTTGTGTAGTTCTCTGAAAAATGCTAATACAAAGGCTATCAGTTTCTTGCTACAAGAACCCTCTGATTAATCATCCTTGGAATTAGTATAATCGGATATTGTGTGCTTTCTGCCACAAACCAACATGAAGCACATAATAACACTTTAGAGTGTTCTTTCTTAGAAAAAAAGAAAGGAAGAAAACAAGGAAGGAAGAAAGGAGGGAGGGAGGGAAGTAGGAAGGAAGGAAGGCAGGGAGGGAGGGAGGGAGGGAGGGAGGAAGGAAGGAAGGAAGGAAGGAAGGAAGGAAGGAAGGAAGGAAGGAAGGAAGGAAAAGAAAGTAAGTCAAATATGAATCAACACAAAACCTCTAGAATAAGGCTTCTCATTTTATGAAATATGGAAGACAGAGAAGGTAACTAAACCATAGAATAGCCTACTTACAAATCCAGAATGTGGGACGTTCCACAGGATGACTAACCCAGTTTCTGCCCCAAGACAATGACCGAAAAAGGAGAGAAGAGACATACTTTTCTAGAGTTCAAAGAAAATGTCCAGTAGAGACCAGACTGGAGTGGGAAGGTCAGTCTGACTGAAGTAGATTCAGCAAAGATAAGAGTTACATGTAGCTGGGCACCCAGAGAATGCCTTCAAATTTATACTAACTTGGTTCCCTCCAGCTTTAAAATCACAAACCCAATGTCACCTAATACCTTGTTTACGGAAAATAGTTGTTAAAACACTTCAGTAAAGTTGTACAATAAATTGAAGTAAGAGCTTGAAAGGCTTTCAGTGCTAGGTCAAGGTGTTTAGATTTAAAGTGTTACATGTATGAGTCATTTTATTTAATTTTTTCACTTGAGAACATCAATTTGTAACTGGGGCTATATTGCCCCAGAGGAGGGAAAAGTGGTTATTGCAGGAGAAAAAAAAATCCCAGGTATTGAAGCAGCTTAGTTGTCTGAGACAATACCCAGGGTTCATCATCTTGTGCTGAGAAAACTTAGGACCCAGACACACGTGAGGAATTTAGGAGCACAGATTTTATAGGCAACAGAGAAAGGAGAACAACTCTCTTACTAGTTAGACAGAGAGGCTTCCAAAAGGAAAGACCAGGGGATGGCAAATGCACTGGATTTTATAGGCAGGCTTGAGGAGGTGGTGGTTGATTCATGTAGTCCCAAAGATTGATTCGATCAGGTGTGATGTTTACCTAGCATGTGCATGCAAGGAAGGCTGGCCACCCCACCCTGATCTTACTATGCAACTAGCCTATCCACTCGAGTGGCGCCATCTTGTCTCCTCCCTGCTGTACACATGGCTAGCAAAGAGAGAAGGGAAGATGGAGCTGCCATTTTGAACATGATTGACACAACTCCCAGCATCTGTATCTGAAGCTCAATTTTACAGGCTTCTCTTTGTCAGAAAATGATTTTGGGTCTGCTATTCATTAAAAAGAAAAATCTTACTGAGGACTCCCATACCCTCACTATCTGCCTAAGTAGTTTCTTCTTAACACCTATATCAATATTATAATGGCTGTGGCCCTTCAAATGGCTTTAGTGCATACAGAGTTATACAGTATTACTGGGGCATTAAAATTCATAAAGGTGAGGATGATTAGGAAAAACAAATCAAGTCTCCACAGGGTACAATAATGAAAACAAGTTTTAAAAATCTAATCTAGAAAAAGTATAAACTTAACAATTCACATATCTATAACACATTTAATAAAATTTTAAACTATATATTAATAAAATCAGAAATATTTATAAAAATGCTTAGTCTTTCTAAAAACAATTTTCTTTGGACACATCACACCCCATGAATCAAAAGATTAAGACATACTGTAGGTTGTAAATAACAATATTTTCCTGACAACCATCAAATTTCACCCACTAATTTATCTCCTCTAATCTATTTATCCTTGTGCCCATTAACTTTGCACATTCATGCCTTAAGCAAATGACTTTCAACTCTCAATTTGTAATGTCAAGTGAGGTAGCCTTCAGTTCTAACTCATATGCTCCTGCTATTGACTAAATGTTTGTTTCGACACCAAATTTATATGTTGAAAACCTAATCTCCAATGTCATGGCATTTGGAATGGAAGCCTTTGAGAAGTAAGTAAAGTTGGGTTAGATAATGAGAATGGGACTATTGTGATGAAATTAATGCCCTTGGCTGGGCTTATGCCTGTATTCCCAGCACTTTGGGAGGTCAAGGTGGGCAGATCATGAGGTCAGGAGTTCAAGACCTGCCCGGACAACCTAGTGAAATCCTATCTCTACTATAAATTCAAAAAATTAGCTGGGCATAGCGGCAAGTACCTGTAGACCCGGCTACTCAGGAGGCTGAGGCAGGAGGCTCACTTGAACCTGGGAGGTGGAGCTCATGGTGAGCCAGGTTTGTGCCACTGCACTCCAGCCTGGGCAACAGAGTGAAACTCAATCTCAGAAAAAAAAAAGGAAAAGAAAGAAAGAAATGTTCTTAATATAAGACAGACACATGAAAGTTTTCTTTCTTCACTATGTGCGGATACAGAAAAATGTCTGCTGTCTAAAAATTACAAAGAGGGCCCTCACCAGATACTGAATATGCTAGCACCTTGATCTTGGACTCCCCAGCTTCCAGAACTGGGAGAAATAAATATTTGTTGGTTAAGCTACCCCATCTATGATATTTTGTTATGAAAGCCTAAACCAATACAAGACAGTTTCTAATCCAATGAAAACTGTCACCGTTAACATTTATTCATTTGTACATACCTTGAAGTCAGAAATTGAGTTTAGAGTTCAAATCTGTAGAAAAGCAATACTTTTTTGGTCAAGCATAAAAGGGTGGTTTTCTTCAAAGCTGTTGAAAGAGAGCAAAAATAAAACTGTGAAGAAGACATTCAAAAGGCTTTTATTGGTGTGCTGTCAAAAAGGAGTGCAAAGGAGAAAGAGATATTAAGTGGGTTAACTGGAGGAATGATAAGGAAGTTTAAACATTTATTTGTTGCAAAGTATTCACCATCTATTCACACTAGCCAAATCTTGATAAAGGACTTTTAATAAAATGTATACATATTTAGTTAATGGTTAATGTAAATAATACTTTCAGAAAAGACTACTGGGACATGAAAATATTGAATAAAACTAAGCAAGTCGGAATAATTATAGTTGAGCCGACAGAATAAGAGGGTTTAAAATGTCCTGTCAATGACAGGACAATAGGAAGAACACAAAAAGTTATAAAAACACAGAATCAAAAAACATTCTTTCTACCTGGGAATAATAGGAAGATATATGAGGTGATGGTTAAAATCCAAGCTCAGCCTCAAAATATGAATGGTATAGTTACTGAAATAATAAATAATGAGAATAGAAGGCTACCGAGAAGAAACTACAACAGTAATGGCACATTTGAAGAAGGTTCTTTTTGCCAAGCAGCAGGCCTGCTGCCTGAGTGCACAGAAGGCCAATATTATGGTACTGGCTTTTCTTTTCTTTTTGCAGCCTGCATTATGTTTTATCACTCTTAGCAGATTAAAAACTCCAAGTGATCATATACAATAAAGAATTAAGGTAACTCGATTTCTACTTGTTAATCGTTGCTATCAGTATCTATCTCTAAACTAGTGGGTTTTAAAAAATTGACTTGGGGGTAGAAGTGTAATTTTGTTGCATGAATATAGTGCATAACGGTGAAGTCTGGGATTTTAGTGTAATCATCCTTTGAATAGTGTACACTGTACACCTTAGGTAATTGATTTCTTTTCCCTCATTCCCCTCCCACCCTTTCACCTTTTCAAATCTTCAATGTTTATTATTACACTCTCTATGTCCATGTGTACATGGAGTTGTTAGAATATGCAGTATTTGACTTTCTGCTTCGGAATTATTTCACTTAGACAATGACCTTCAGTTTCATCCCTGTTGCTGCCATACATGTGTGTGTGTGTGTGTGTGTTTGTGTGTGTGTGTGTTTGTGTGTGTGTGTGTGTTTGTGTGTGTGTGTGTTTGTGTGTGTGTTTGTGTGTGTGTGTTTGTGTGTGTGTGTTTGTGTGTGTGTGTTTGTGTGTGTGTGTGTTTGTGTGTGTGTGTTTGTGTGTGTATATAGAGAGAGTATTTTCTTTATCTAACATCTGTTGATGAACACTTAGGTTGATTACTTGACTTTCCCTATTGTGAGTAGTGCTGTGATAAACACACAAGGGCAGGTATCTTTTTGATACGATGATTTATTTTCCTTTGGGTAGATACTAAATAGTAATATTGCTGGATTGAAGGGTAGTTCTATTTTTATTTCTCCAAGAAATCTTCATACTACTTATCTACTATAGAGGTTGTACTGATTTACATTTCCACCAACAATGTATAAGGGTTCCCTTTATTCCACATCCTCACCCTGTTGGTTTTAGATTTTTTAGTAATAGCCATTCTGACTGGTATAAGAGGGTATCTCATTGTTATATGTTTTTTGACCATTTGTAAGTTTCCTTTTGAAAAATGTCTGTTCATGTATTTGTCCACTTTTTAATTGGGCTGTTTTTTGGATGTTGAATTGTTTGAGTTCCTTATAGATTATGGATATTAGGCTTTTGTTGGATGCATAGTTTGCAAATATCTCCCATTCTATAGGTTGTCTTTTCACTCTATTGGCTATTTCTTTAGCTGTGGCACCAGCTTTTAAGAAAAGAGAAAGTTCGCTTGCAAGGGTGACCAGCAAGAAGATAGGAGATAACATTCAAATCTCTCTCCTCAAGCTGAGGTTTGGTGCAGGTTTCCAAGGCAGAGAGAAACTATGAGGGACATAGGAAAATTCAACACGATGTGATCTGATTGGGTCATGCAAAAAAGCAGTGCTAGGTTCTTGGCTTTTAAGTTCATATTGCAGCAAAACAGGGCATCCATTGATTCTTAATTAGTCCCAGATCCACCATCCAAGTACTTAGTTTCCACAAGTGATTGACTATCCCAGCTGGCTCCAGGGTCATGAATCAAATATACTTTGGTTCATCTGGGCATGACCAGATTATGTGACTTGCAACCTAGTGGTCCTTTGTAACTGAAAAGCAATTCATCGTTTTGTTACTGATAAAGTTGAATCAGAGTGAACTGGTTCCGTTATAATTTGGCAGTAGCAGAAGTTATAAACTGGAAAAGGAGGCTGAAACACTAAGATAATAGTTACTTTAGATGCCTCAATTATTACACTGAATAATCTAAAATTTATTCTCTTGACAATGGGGAATCTCTTTTCTCTCTCTCTCTCTCTCTCTCTCTCTCTCTCTCTCTCTCTCTCTCTCTCTCTCTCTCTCTCTCTTTCTTTTTCTTTGAGTTGGAATTTTGCTCTTGTCACCCAGGCCAGAGTGCATTAGTGCCATCTTGACTCACCGCAACCTCTGCCTTCCAGTTTCAAATGATTCTCCTGCTTCAGCCTCCCAAGTACCTGGGATTACAGGTATATACCACCGTGCCCGACTAATTTTGTATTTTTAGTAGAGACAGGGTTTCTCCATGTTGGTCAGGCTGGTCTCAAACTCCCGACCTCAGGTGATCCACCTGCCTCAGCCTCCCAAAGTGCTGGGTTTACAGGCATGAGCCACCACCCCTGGCCCACCTTCTTATTTGTGTGGCAAAGACTGATGACTGGCTTTCCTTGTCCATGCCCCTCTTCTTCGTTTAGCAACTGAATCCGCAAATTTGGCTGCCCAGGATAAAAACTATATTTCCTGGTTTCCACTGTAACTGGGTGCCATCATATGACCATGTTACTCCTGATGAGGGAAAAGCAGAAGTTGTTTGTGCAAATTTCAGGAAGTGTTGTCAAAGAAAGTAGCCATGCCCTTTTTTGCCCTTCCCTCATTCTCGTAATGTGTAATATGGACCAGAAACCTGGGTCTTGACTATTCATCTTGGACCAGCAGACAAAAGCTACATTGTAGGGATGACGAAACAGTGACCTGGAAGTAGTCTACATTCCAGAGAAACTTATGGAATAGAAATCTGAACTGCTTTAGCTGCTACTGCATTGGGTTTTGTGTCATTTGAAGTTAAAACTAATCCATAGGTTGTCTTCTTGTTTGTGTGTTAAACCAAGGAATAACATAGTCTGGATTTGCGTGAGTGTAGACCAGACTGGATAAAATGAAAAGCTTTTGAAAAAACATGTAAACAAATTATAATTGTCAATATACAATAAAAGATATAATGAGGCTCTTAGACTGACGACAATTAAAAATATGGGTGAAACCTAGGATGAATAGTTAGATTATTTTGAGTCTAGGTGATTAGAAAAATACTAAAGTCTCTAAGTTTGGGGAAAAGATAAGTTTGTTTGTATGTGTATGTATAACCTGATTAGGGTGGCTATACAATGACTACAATTTTATTTATTTTAATTAATCTGCTTTCTTGAAAGTAAAAGAAAATAGCTAGATAATAGAAACTAGAAAAGTTAGTAGAGGGATTCAGGCCGAGATGGCTGAATAGAAGCCCCTAGTGTGTACCGCTGTGACTTGAGAGCATAAACAGTAGCAGATAAACACTAGCTCTTCAACTACCACATCCAGGTAGATACATTGGGATTCATTAAGGAAGCAACATGACCCATAGATGATGGAGAAGAGGGAGAGAGGACAACCCCACACTGAAGAGTGGTGTGGAACCAGAGGAGGCCCTGCACCATGGGGAAACAGTGAATGTTGTCCCCAGTACCCACACTTCTGCCACAAACCTGAGTTGGGCGTCTCAGGAGATCACGCATAACTTCCCACCAACCAGGGCCTCCAGGCTGACACAGAGAGCTACATAGAGTCTGGGCAGAGCCACCACTGAGGGGCACACAAACTCTCAGGAGCCTTGATCCCCATCCCCAGGCAATGGGGCACCAGTGGCTACAACTCCCTGACAACAGAAGAGGTCAGGCTTCCTCTCACACTCCCAGGATGGGGACCAAATCCACAGGAAGGAGCAGCAGATGAACTGCAGGCCTGCCTTCACTGCACCTAGCCATACAAGGCCCATTGGCCTGAGAACCAAGCATGGCCACCCCAGCCCCACCTGAACTCTCAGGCTTGAGAGCAGCTCTGCCATTCCCTGGGATGGAGCTCCCAGAGGTAGCAGGCAGGCCGCCACTTTTGCTCCTCTACAGTCCTTGCTCCTATTGCCCTCAGGCTTGTGAGAAAGCACAGTGATTGGGCACTAATGTGGACCCCAGTACAGTGCAGCTGCCTTATGAAAAAGTGGCCAGACTGTTTTCTGTGCAGGTTCCCATCCCTTCTTCTTCTCACTGGGTGGGGCCTCCTGACCTGGGGCCCCAACCACCCCCTACCTGGGCTCTCCGGCTGGTATTACCTCTGCATTTGCCTGAACTGGAGCTCCCAGAAGTAGCAAGCAGGCCTGCCAACTTTGCAGCTGCACAGTCTCCATTCCTGCTGCCCTCAGGCTTGGGAGGGAGTGCAGTCATCAGGGCTAATGTGGGCCCCCAGCACAGCACAGCTGCTATACAGAAAAACAGCCATGTAAGTCCCCTCTAGGGAAAGAACAAGAGGCCTGGTTGCTACACTGGCACCTGTGGCACACTGTAGCAGTGTGTGGAGAGGAAACCCAGTCTTCCTTCCCTGTTAGCACCTGCCTCTTACTCTTCACCAGGCAGGGCCCCTGTTGAGAATCACAGAGCAGCCGCCCAACCCCAGCCGAGCAGTCCCCTTGGAGTGGCTCTGTGTTTTCCTGTAGTGGAGCTCCTAGAGGCAACCAGCGGCTCTTCTGCCACCACCACCGCAGCTGATCTGCCCATGCTGCCCTTGGACTGGGGAAGATACAGAGTCTGAGGGCTTTACTCTTGCTTCCAGCACATAACAGTGTCATGCAGAGAGGAGTCCAGTCTCTCATCCCTGTGATCCCTTGCCCTCCCATTCTTCACCAAGCAGAGCCCCTTGCACAATCCAGCAGTGCAACCACCCCATCCCTTGACTGGACATTGCTATTAGCTGTGGCCATTAACTGTTTCTCTGAGGTGGAGTCCCAGAGGCAACCAAAAGCCCATTCTCTGCCATTCACTGCAGTGCTACTTCCCTTGCTGCCCTGGTACAGAGAATGTAACAAAGACCTTGAGTGCTCTACTCACAGCAAGCCACAGCCATCCCAATAAGAGGCCAATCTGTCTCCCCCGGGAGCTTCATTGCTTGCCACCAGACAGAGGCCTCTGACTTGTTCCCACAACGCAAATGCCCCACTCTGGGCCACTTGCAAATATTGGTAATGGCCCTGCTTTTCTCCAAGTTGAAGCCCCAAGAGACAAGTGAAAGGCCCTCTGCCACAGCACTGCCAAGGTCCCTTCTTCTTCTGCCTCTAAACTGGGGAGGGAACATAAAGCCTGAGTTAACCCCAGGGATGTAGTGGGCATCCCAGGAGTGTCAAGCCAAATCTGCAGCCAGGACTGGAGTAGGAGGGGAGCCTTCACTTTCAGAGCGCTCACAGGGAGCATGGCTGCAATTCCGAAAAAAATACAGAGGAATCATGTAGCTGAGCGAGAGCCTACCTACAGGCCATTGTGTTTAAGCGCCATCTACTGGATTATAGCTCAAACTTCAACACCAAAAATACTTTGCTAATACACCCCGCTGTGAAACCAAAGAAATAATTTAGCTACAAATAAAGACCATGCATAAACTGTTAAACTTGGGTGAAGAACATGAGCAGACACTTTTCAAAAGAAGACATACACACAACCAACAAGCATGTGAAAAAGTACTCCGTATCACTAATCGTTAGAGAAATGCAAATTAAAACCACGATGAGATTCCACCTTACCTCAATCAGAATGGATACATTAAAAAGTCCAAAAATAACAGATGCTGGTGAGGTCGTGGAAAAATTGGGAATGCTTATACACTACTGGTAGGAATGTAAATTAGTTCAGCCATTATGGAAAGCAGTGTAGCAATTCTCAAAGAACTTAAAACAGTTACCATTAGCCTCAGCAATCCTACTATTGGATACATATTCAAAGGAATATAAATCATTCTACTATAAAGGCACAGGTAGGCATAGATTCATTGTAGCAACATTCACAATAGGAAAAACATGGAATTAACCTAAATGCCCAGCAATGGTAGACTGAATAAAGAAAAGATGGTACATATATACTATAGAATACTATGGAGCCATAAGAAAGAATCAGCTCACGTCCTATGCAGTGGCATGGATGGAACTGGAGGCCATTATCCTAAACAACCTACCACAGGAACAGAAAACCAAATACCACGTGTTCGCACTTGTAAGTGGAAGCTTAACACTGAGAACTCATGGACACAAAGATGGACCTACTTGAGGGTAGAGAGTGAGAGGAGGGAGAGGATCCAAAAACTATCTATTAGATACTATGTTTATTAACTGGGCAAGGAAATAATCTGTACACAAAATCCCTATAACATTAAATTTACCTATATAACAAACTTGTACATGTACACCTGAGCTTATAATAAAAGTTAAAAAAAAAAAAACAAATTAAAAATGCCTTGAATACAGTAGAACCAGCCATGTACCTTGGAAAGGTTTACCCAAGTCTACACAGAGTGTAGGTAGAATAGCAGAAATATTTGTGCTCTCATACTCTATGGTTCACTAAGTAATTTGTAGTGTAAGAGATAATTTTCTCTTTTTTAATAATAAAATTATCACAGTACCAAAGTAGCTTAGCTTCAGTCTTCTAAATTAGTCTTATTCAACATCAGCAACCGGGCCAAACAAATTTTCGTTGAGGAGAATTTTTTTGTGTGTTTTAGGATATTTAGAAACACTTCTGGCCTCAGGCCAACAGCTGCCTAATACTTCTTCTCTCCTTTCCTGTAGTTACGACAATAAAAAATATTTCTGATGTTGTCAAATCTTCCTTGAGGGGCCAAAGGGTCACCTCTTCAGAACTACCAGTTCGTAGATACAGTAAAAGAGCCATGTGGCTTTTTAATTTTATTGCATATCAACAAATTATAATTGTATATATTTATGGGATACAAAGTGCAAGAGGCTGAATGAAGTAGGAGGATCACCTGAGTCAGGGAGTTTCAGGCTGCAGTGTGCCATGATTGCACAGTGCCCTCTAGCTTGCATGGCAGAGTGAGACTCCGTCTCAAAAAAAAAAAAAAGAAAGAAAAGAAAAAAGAATAATAGCAATAGTATGATGGAAGTATGCAATGTAGAATGATTAAATAAAGCCAATTAACATATCTATCATCCATCATCTCAAATACTTATTTGTGTGTTTGTGTGTGTGATGAGAACATTTAACATTTATTAGCATGTTTCTGCTTTGTTTGGTTTGGTTTGTTTTTGTTATGCTACTCTTTTGTTCTTGATTCTATAATGTAATACAGACATTCCCCAATTTTTGAAGCTTTTACTTACAACTTTTCAAGTTTCCATTGGGATTATGAGGAGATAACTCCATTGAAAGTTGAGAAGTAATTTTACTTATGATAGTTTAACTTAGGATTTTTTGACTTACAACATTTTTGACTTATGAGCGGCTTATCAGGACACAACCCCATCATAAGTTGAGGAGCATCTATGTATTATCCAAACTCAAATCTGATACCCCTTTGTAAAATAGGAATATTATTTGACAGTTCATCTCTATCTGCATTATGTCTAACAATGATAGTCAAACAGGAGAGTTTTCCCGATTCCACTTGCAGGAAGTGCAGCAGGGGTGTGGCTATCCAGCGGGGGTGTCGCTGGCCTGTTTAGTCACCCTGCTGCTCAAACCCTTTGAGAGAGGGGAAGCATGCAGACAGGCAGGTGCGGAGTCTGGGGGTGTAATTTGGGCTCCAGCTCCATCGTAGTATCTAGGGATGGGCTCCTGCCACCCCAGTGTTGCAAAGCTCCTTCAGCTCTGCCATCCACAGATGGTTTGAATGTTAATCAGCTCAATGACTTTCTGCCTGCTTTGCAAGGGCAGAGGGCCAGTGTGACAGCTTTCTGTATCCCACGATCTTGTCCAGCATCCCCCCAAAAATGGGTCACACATTGACTCCAAGGATGAATGTGAGGTTTTATTGAGTGGTGGAGGTGGCCTTCAGTGGGATGGACAGGGAACTGGAGGTAGGGGATGGAGTGAGTAGGTGGTCCTCCCTACTCACTTGGGCTGTCCCACAAAGGGACTCCTCTCTGACCACTCCCAGCCAGACTCCTCTGGGTGTTCAGATGTCCCTCTTCTTTTCCCTTTCTCTGCCACATCATTCCACCCTGTGTCTGATAGTCTGCTGGCTTGCTGGTCGGCTCTGGAGCTTGGGGTTCAGAGTTTATATGGGTGCAGGATAGGGGGTATGATGTGCTAAAAGGTAACTTTTGGGCATGAAAACAGGAATGCCTGTTCTTATTTAGGGCCAAGAATATCCAGGCTCGAGGGTGGGGCCTTTGCCGGAGAACGGCCCTCTTCTACCCAGTATTTCCCTGGCTCCTGTCCATATCAATAGGGACAGCAGAAACGATGTATACAAAGCCCACAGTATGCCCTTAATAAAGATGAACTATAATCATTATTTTTCCTAAACAAAGAAAAAGTAAACAAAAGTATTATTTATCCTCTTCTTCATTTGCACTGAAATTTTTTAGGTATTTAGTCATTTATTTCTAAGACCTTCTTTTGACTGCTGAATTCCCCACAGTCTGGTTATAGATTGCTACCACCTATGGAAAAGAACTAAGATTATTTAAAATCTTTTCCACACAGATATATATGGCATCATACACACACAGGCTTCTTCATCACATCAGCTACAGTGATAGCAAGGGATGTCAGTCTGCTTTTCATCTCTTTTCAATAACATCCACCACAATATGCATGATACAGTGTTCCTTTTTATAACTATTTTTTATACTAAAATGGAATTCTGTAGATTCAAAGCAATATAGAAATCCCAAGTCTCACACAAAAAGTGTGATTAGGGGCCCAAGTGTGCTTCTCCTTAGGTCGAACTTTGAGTTAGGACTGGGAATTATTGTTATATGTTTATGAAGTACTCAGCATCCTTTGCTCAAAGTAATTATTGGTTTCTTCACTTACAGCTAAAGTTGATATAAGGAATACACTCTACAAAAAAATCACTCACAAGAGTCAGGATTTCTCTAGGGAATTTTGAACGTATCTTCACTGCCAAGTTCCAAAGAGTCTATCATGATTATCTTACACTGACAATACCAAAGACACTGGCAATAGGAAAGACAATGCCTGCTGTCTTGCAGTTACTGTAGAAAGGTCTCTAGCCATGTTTCGTAAGGGTTATAGTCATTCATTGAAATACATTTTCTCCCACATAGGTATGCATAGACTCCTATTCCTCCAAGAACTTTGATTAAAGAATTTTGCTCAGGAGGAATGAAATGTATTTTTCTGTCAAGGTAGGAGATATTTGGACACTGGTTTTATTCATGGCTAACAGAGTACCTAATGCAAGAGAATGGCCTTGCTAGGCAACTTCCTCTGAAAGAGGGAGAGAGAGAGAGGGGGAGAGAGAGAGAG